AATGAAATAAATGGCCAGATAAAAAAGAAATAGTTATGAAAAGGTATAGGGAAGGAATAAAATAGATATGAAACAACTATGGGAGGGAATGAAACACATTTCATAATGCTTGCCCTACATTTCTCATTTCATAAAAAACCTAGGCAGTGTCCAAAAAGTTGTGCAGGCACTTGCCCAGACTTTTTCATAAACAATGGTTGATACTAGTGAGGAGATGTGGTTTCGTCCCCAGGCACCCGTGTGCCTCGATTAGACTATAGTAAAAAATTTTTAAACTCGATTAATGGATGGATGCGACCTTCCACATCTGGATGATGTTCCATAGTGGTAAACAAATGTAAATAGTTGTCTGTTGGCCTTCAGGATAGAATTTCCACCATAAATGACATACCTCCACAAAAGAAGCTACAAAAACATCTATATATATATGCCATGATATTTATGTATGTCTTAGAACACTTTCCGCTGCCTCTTTGTGCTCATAATAGATGGATGCGACATTCTGCATCTGGATGACATTCACTCGAAAGAGCCTGCTGGTAAACAAATGTAAACATGAAGCCAAGGAGTTGCAAAAGCCTCATATCTCTACAAGGCTTCAAGAAAAAAGTGATGATATGTATACTGAAACATCTATTTGCCCCCTAGAATAGTTTCTGCAGTTTTTCTCCATCTGTAATTGATGGATGCAGCATTTTTCATCTGGATGACGTTCAGTTGAATTTTTAATGATGCTTCTGATAAACAAATGTAAATAGATGAAAATCGAATATATTTCTACACCAAAAGATGGCTACTCCTCGTCCTCCTCTACGAGAGCCTCCAGCAACGGGTTGACAGACAGTCCAGAGCCTTCATTACTTTCCTCTTGGCTACCTAATGGCACAAGCAGCTTTTCCCATAGGCGGGTGAAGCACTCATGCAGTGCCCATTGAATGCTCACTTGGCGGCTCACGTATGCATGCACCCCTTCACTCATGGGATCGTCTAGACCAGGCCATCCATTGCGGCGTTCATCCCACCAACTAGCCTTCCACTCCAACGTCTTCCGGACTCTCTGCATTTCCTCCTTCAGTAAGTGCACTTCTTCAGTCCATCGTAAACTCCACGCCCTTGCTTTTGCCCATTATATTCGAACCGCTGCCAAAAGGATGGTCAGTAATCATATGCAGATATAATTTTTTGGCAGCCTACCTTCGTGCAACACCTCATCACTGCCATCCCCAATCGCCTCGGCACTAGTCCAGATCCACGAAACAACCTTCTTCCCTTGCCCCAGACCCAGTTTTTCCACTGTACGCTGCTTCTTTGACCATTGTCAACCATCTGGCTTGAAGGGATCCTCTGGATCCTCAATACTAATTTCCATCCCATCGGGTGTAGTGAGGTCGCCGTTTTTGAGCTTACGAAGGCTGTTCTCCCAGCTTCCTGGACCCAATAACTCCAACAGCACCTTACGCACAGTTCGGTACTTTACCGCCAATGATTTCATTTTCTCTTCAAGATGATTCAGGGTGTCTTGGGCTCTCATGTTCGGATTCTGTCCCCGTATGTTGCGATTTTGAAACCTGATGAACGACAAGCGACTGCGCTGCATGTTGCGTATCTTATCTAAGATATCGTGACATTGAGCTTGATGAAGCTTGGCCTCAATATCGACCAGACTCTTGTGGCAGTTGTGGGTTCGTTGAGTGGACGGTAGAGCCGACAGGAGCCACAAATGCTGGTGCTCCGGTTCCATGCTATTGCGCTTGGATTCAGGCAATTCCTGCTGGGAAGCCTCACGTTCACTGGCCATCACAGTCGCCGCCGGCATGTAGATGGCTTGGAGGTTGCAGAAGCATTTGATTTCGCATAAGAGCAGAAGGCGGCGGCGTTGAATTTCGTTTTCTTGATAAGTTGTAAGTTCCTCTGGCCTCCTGGAATCCCAGAGGATCCTATGCCTGTAAGATAGTTAGTAGATAGAACGACCAAAAAAAATGCAGAGCGCTGACTGTGACTCCTCAATAATCAACCTCATGGAGATGAATGCCGTTGGCCCTGTCTCATGGAGCTGAGGCATGCCAGCTGTTATCACCGATTTTTCTTCCTCCAGTAGTTGCTTCTTTACCTCGTTCTGAGAAGCATCTAGGCAGCCAGTCAGAATACTACATAGGAAGGAGATAGGCACTACTTACGAGCCACAACAGAGAGGTAAGGGTTTTTCTTTGATGGATCCTTCTCCCAGTCGAGGATCATCTTAGTCCATTCTTTCTCTAACCCACCCTTCTCCATCAATGACACATTGAAATCATCAAAGATTGTGTTTTGACGCTTCTGTTCAGGTATTGTGAGCAGGAGACGGGAGTGGAGTGTATGACCTAGACAAAACAGTCAATCAGATTGAATCAAACGGATGATGAGGAAACTTACCAAAGGCAACGTACTTTCGAAAGTTGTGATGACCGAAATGATCATCAAGTGTGTCGTGCCTGGACCCTGGACCCATCTCCTTAGTGCTGTTGGCCACACGGTTCAATTTGGCCCAACCACTACTGGCTAGCACTTTTATCATATAAATAAGGTAACTGCCTAGAGGTCATTGTGTATAAGTCCACAGTCTTTATGATAGGGAATCATACCAGTTGCCATGTCTTTTCATTATCATAAAGCCTGCGCTTTTTTTCATTAATTGTAGGCAAGGCCTTAGACCTCCATCTCATTATGTACCTGGTCAATATCATTGCGATTTTCATTAGCCATTTGGGCAATATCATTGGAAATTTCATTAACTACTTGACCGATATCATTGTGATTTTCATTAGCTATTTGGAAATTTCATTAGCCACTTGGGCAATATCATTGGGAATTTCATTAGGCACCTGGGCAATATCATTGCAATTTTCATTAGCTTAGTTGGGCAATATCATTGGAAATTTCATTAGCTACTTGACTGATATCATTGCAATTTTCATTAACTATTTGGGAATTATCATTGGAAATTTCATTGGCCACCTTGGCAATATCATTGCAATTTTCATTAGCCTCTTGGGCAATATGATTGGGAATTTCATTAGGCACCTGGACAATATCATTGCGATTTTCATTAGCTATTTGGGAATTATCATTGGAAATTTCATTAGGCATGAGGGCAATATCATTGTGATTTTCATTAGCTAACTGGGCAATATCATTGCGATTTTCATTAGCCATTTGGGAATTATCATTGGAAATTTCATTAGCCTCTTGGGCAATATCATTGGAAATTTCATTAGGCACATGGGCAATATCATTGCAATATTCATTAGCCATTTGGGAATTATCATTGGAAATTTCATCAGCCTCTTGGGCAATATCATTGAGAATCTCATTAGGCACCTGGGCAATATCATTGCAATTTTCATTAGCTACTTGGGCAATATCATTGGAAATTTCATTAGGCACCTGGACAATATCATTACAATTTTCATTAGCCTAGTTGGGCAATATTATTACTACAAAGTGTACTAGTAGACCAAATAGACCACAAAAAGTCAGACATGGACTACAAGTTTACTGATAGACTACAGAAGACTACAGAAGTTGGACTTGGACTACAAAGTTTATTAATAGACTACAAAAAGTCAGTTACTGATACCCTTGATTACTGTTATTGACAATCCACTTTTTCATTACAGAAGTCTGTAGTGTTTGCTTTTTAAGACTACAAAAGTTAGTAGTGTCTGCTTTTTAAGACTGCAAAGTTTGTAGTGTCTCCTTTTGCACTAGAAAATTTTGTAGTCCACTTGTTTAGCTGATTGATTCTAGGCTACTACAAATAGTGAATGAATGATAAAGGGCAGTAGGGTCATGTCTCTTTGTCAATTTTCATTTAGGATTAAGGAAAAAGACAACTTGACTTAGGTGACCTTTTGCATCATAACCTAACATTGGGATTGAATGTAATGACACTTCTGAGGACCAATCAGACCATGATCTATAGAGTACTGTAGCCCTCAAAGAAGTTGACTATGCTTGGAGATAGGACAGTATGAAAGGATAGAATAGCCTTTCAATCCTTCAACCATATGCCCATGAACATATACATACATAGTCAAGGACATTCAAACTACATGTCAACCAGACCACAAATCAACCATATGCCCATGAAGATATACACATACAAACTACATGTCAGAAAACGAGGCCATAAACCTTTGTAGTGTCAAAAAGCAGACACTACAAGCTGACAGACACTACTAACTTTTGTAATGAAAAGGCAGACACTGCAAACTTTTGTAGGCTCAAAAAGTGGACACTACAGACTTTTATAGTGAAAAAGCAGAGTACAAACTTTTGTATTCCAAAAAAGCTAGAATCAATCAGCTAAACAAGTGGACTACAAACTTTTCTAGTGCAAAAAGCAGACACTACAAACTTTGTAGTCTTAAAAAGCAGACACTACTAACTTTTGTAGTCCTAAAAGCAAACACTACAGACTTTTGTAATGAAAAAAGCGGACACTGCAAAATTTTGTAGTCCAAAAAAGCAGACACTGCAAAATGAAGTCTCAAAAAGAGGACATTACAGACTGTTGTAATGAAAAAAGCAGACACTGCAAACTTTTGTAGTGCAAAAAA